ATCACAGGCCACAATGGAACACATTTTCTCTCCCCCTCACTTTAATTATCTTTGACAAATGCAGGGACACGAACTACATTTTTACCTTCAGGTCAGAACAGCCAGTGAAACCTAAAATTCTCTTTACTGTTTTACCAGTCACCAGTCGCAAGAACTGTATCATGCAGAGCACACAGCATGAATAATAGGTTAGTAAACCTTGCAGGGCTCATTTATTTTAATTAAACTTTTTTGACATGTAAATACATTTTTGTTCTCAAAGCTCTCCTTCTCCCTGGTTGGCTTTCACTATGTCTGCCCTATATTATAAAATGACCAGAATTTTATGAAAAAACCTCTCTGATCGACAGAAGCAAATTTGCTCTTCTGGGTTCAATCAATCAACATATGCAGAGGTTAAATAAAAATATGTGATAACAAAAGTTCTGCATATACAATTGCATTGCTCAGTCGGTAGAGCTGGCGANCAGCGGCCTGGGTTCGAATCCGACCTGCGGCCCTTTGCTGCGTGTCATCCCTCTTTCCTGTCTATCTTTGGTTGGCACTATCAATAAAGGCAATAAAAGGCCAAAAACAAAAACTTAAAAAAAAAAATTTATTATATGGAGAAACGTTAGCTGCTGTGAGCTAGTTAGCTTAGCCCTACTGCCCAGGATACCTGGGACAGGGTGCTCAGAGACCACCACAGCAGTGTTTACACCGGTAGTACAGGAGATTTGGACCGCAGAGATGAGGCAATGGTGCCAAACCAAGGTAATCACGGCAGAAAGTCTTTTGGTCTGTGTCTATTGGAAAAGCAGTAAACACAATGATGCAATTCTGAAATGATTGACTTCCATTTTTTTCCCATGCCATTAAGAAGAAAATACTTACATAATAATTTCTGGTATATTCTAAAATATATGTATTTGATGGCAAGCAACGTCACTTGTTTGGCTAGTTTTAATTTAGAATGGAAAATAAATAAATGTGTACATTAAACAAATGATAAGAACTACATCAGACTGCATTGTATTGTATCGAATCAATAGAGACAGCTGAAGAGTGACAGGAAAGGGGTGAGAGAGAGGGAATAACACGCAGCAAAGGGCCACAGATAGGATTTGAACCCTGCTAAATACTTCATATACTGCTGGGTTGTTGGATATATAATAATGTTTCATTTTATAAGTTGGTGTTTTGTATGTAAAAGTCTCTATAGCTGTTGAATAAATGTCATAAAGTAAAGAGATGGGTTCTAATATTGAAAGGTATATTTTCATTAGTGTATAATCACCTGAATATAGGAAAAGTTATGATATAATTACCTAGAATGAGGCCTTTATATATATCTTTCGTGCAATGAAGCGAGGAAGTTGCGACCTGCAATTACACCGCTTGAAGCTACTAAATCCTTCAAACTGGACCTTTAGATTATATATGAGAAATTATACTACAATTAGACTCAACAGCACATGAGTAAATATATTTCCACCACTGAGCTTCACTTTCCTTAACACATCTTTAATTGCTAAGACTACAAATGCAGTGTTTCAATAACATCCCCTTCTGGCAGACGAAGGAGGCCTGGACTGACCAGAACAGCACTTAGAGATAAACATCTTTAAAATGGCCGCTACTCCACCTGCCCTCCACGCTGCTCCAATTATAGATCCGTTTACACAGCTAAACACTGATGGTCTGCCCCTGATAAGTAAACAACCGGCCTGGCGGCAGCATTAAATCGTTCGTGTGCCGTTTCACAAAACAAAAGCATATACAAAGTGTCAGTGAGTGCACCCTCTCACACACAATGGCATGTTGGCACAATTCCTACATTCACGGCACTCATACTGTACACATTCACACAATCTGTTCCTTTCACTTTCCACTTTATCATGGCTCTCAAACACACACTAAATTATTATTTCTCTTCTCGAGCCTTGCAGGCACCTGTTTGGGAGTGTCTGGCTAGCCGGCATCCTGTGCGTGGGTCTGTTTGTGCCCGAGGAACAGAGGGGTTCCTATTAAAGCCACCACTTGTGACTCTCACTTCCTCCTACGCTACCTCATCAGCTAGGGATTGTTGTCCGGTGACTGTCCCACAAAAAGAAAATAAATGAATCTGGGACGTGACAGATTTCCCCCCTTTGGATACACAAACAAGTGTGATGAAACAGGAAATGGTCAACCACATCCACCTTCTGTTTTTAGGTGTGTATATGCAAGGAGACCATGAAAAATGTGCAAGATGTGGAGGATTTTTTTCCTCTTTTCTTCATCCTGTCATGTTATCTTTAACACACACACACACACACACACACACACACACACAAAACAACAGTGTTACCCAACATGACATCATCCCCGGTATTTGCTCCTCTGCGTTTCAAAGGTGAATAGTTCCCATTCAGACTGTACAGTGAGCTGGTGAGTGGTCCTCCCCGCTTTGAGGAAAGCACGGTCACTGTTTGGCATGAACTCATGTCTGCATAGCTCACACACATTGAGACAGAAAAGCAAACAGAGAGTATGGCGGATAAACTTTCAGATACACAACACAACTAGTGTGTGTGTGTTTAATCAGTATGCACTATGGCAAACACATGCACAGCACACAGTCACACCCAGCTGCAAAAAGAATAGCATTGATAGTGCTATTGTCTGAGATACTGAAAGTATGAGCGTATATGATCTTCTTACCTGGTTTTCTTTCCTGGTCTGAGTCCAGTGTCTGCTCTGACACCGTAGAAACTCCTCTCAGGTTAATGACAGAAGGTCAGCCACATGCAGAAGAGGCCCCCAGTCCATTGAGGTGAGATTTTGCCCAGCTACAAGTCCATGGCACTGCGAGGCTAGCACACGCTCACATGATTTCATCCTCATCCATTGGTCAACACAAACCCAGTAGTAGGTTTCAGGACTTGCCTGAGAGAAAAAAAATAAGTCAGGGTGTAGTCTGAAGGGGACAAAATGTCATAATTATTCCTTTCATAAGGCATTACAGAGAGCTTGCATCACCTCTAATAGCAGAACCACTGTATTTCCTGTGTAGACAACAACACAAGGCAAATAAACACCATTGAAAGCACTAAGTCTCCCCTGTGGCTGAAAGTGAGCACCCATGGGTCTTTGTGCATCTGCAGAGAGACCTAATACTGTGATGAGAGAATGAGTCCGAGCCAGGACCCTGGATAGGTTTACAGGGTTTGAACAGAAAAGGATTCGGTTGCCCTGTAGGGCCCACTGCAGACGCACACTCAGTTTGAACACACAGGCTGATAATAAGCACAGTTTGTACTAATGAAGATATATAAAATATGTTATCGACCATCGACCGTTCTAACTATAACATGAAACAATGCTTCTGTTAAATGATAGTGAGTCAGTTAATTTTTAACATACTAAATATAATCCCCATTACATTTGGGGATAAAACACATAAAATCAACCACCTTTACACAATTATTATATTTCAGTTTAACGTCTGCTAGTCCTGGTCTTTCTTTGTATTTCAAGGCAAATGAAACTTACCATCTATTGAGATGAAGCGGAAGCCAAGATTTCAGCAACTTCCACCCACACACACTTCACACACATGACCAAACAGAGTGCTGGCAACACCTGAACTCAGTAAACCACAGTGATCTGCTCATAATAACACTATTGCGAAACTGAAAAGTGAAACTCTGGTCAGATGAATTTTATATTTTTGATAAATCTAAATTATAGTCACCTTAGAGCTATAAGATAATACATAATTTGATATAAATCCTGAAAACACAAATTGTAGAAGAACATAAAACTCTATTTTACCATAGCCTGCTGAATTAATTACCTACAGTGGGCTACAACCGGAAGCAACTTCCAAGGCCTGATTTGAATTGACTTGACATTGTTCCAAACCAGGTCTGGGGGCTGTGGTAGGAATGCCTGAGGGGCCCTGTGCAGGAGAGGGCAGTATGAATGAATCAATGCAATTCACACAGACACACGAGGACACAGTCCACCCACCACCTAGTAAAGTAGCTGACTGGAGCCTACAGTGTCAGAGGAGACGCTCACAACAAGGAGAAACACCAAGCTATTCTTCCTCCCTGCATACGCTCCACAAATGACTCCTTTGTTTGGGAGGGGGGAAAAAAGACGACGTATGTAACTGTGTGCGGTGAAACATAGCACGCAGGACAGTAACACACGCCAATCACATACAAGTTCAAAGGCGTGAACTATAAACAAACGCACACACTCAACCATCTGGCAGCTTTTAAGTGACAAATTGCCAACGGGATGTCATTCATTTATCGACACATGCACTATTCATGCATTACTGGCTCAGGCTAAAACAGCAAGCTGCAACTTTTCTATCGACAACCATCTGTAACATGCCAGAGGGCGATATCACACGACCCCAGCGGTTTTTACATTTTTGTTGCGCAACCCTGTCAGTGGGCAGGGCAGGGAGGAGAAGGTAGTTTATGGCTTGAGCCCCCACCCTGGCACATAAAGACGCAAACACCACCCAGTCCCTAGAGAGTGTAAGAAAGGCCAGAAATAAACTGCACAAACAGAGTGAAGCACAGAGGCCACTTAGAACACAACTAATGTACACGAAAAGCAGCTCAACTGAGGTCAGTGGAACACGTACAGTGACGTTTACTGGTATGACTGTATTCAACGTCAGTCTGTCAGTCAGTCCGACGCTTTGGTTAAGACTAAAACATCTCAATATTATTAATACATCTCATTGTTTTTAGAGAGTGAAGCCTGATGACTGCAATCAACCTCTGACTTTTCAGAGGGCTGACGGATGGTCATGAAATTCACTACAAACATTCATGTCTTCCTCAAGATGAATTGTAGCAACTCTGGTGATCCCTTAACCGTTTATCTTGTGCCCCCCCCCCCCCAAAGGGCCCTGTGTTATTAATCCAGCTCACCCCTTTTCTAAAAGCTCAAATTCACTCTCAGCCAGACTGTGGCATGTTTAGTTCAGCTCAAGCCAAGATGATGAAAAGAGAGCATTCGGTCAACAAGAAAAGTAGCCTACAACCAATTCAGCTGTTAGAACACACACACACACACACACACACACACACACGCACGCACGCACACCCATACACAGTGAACTTCTGGTGGGAGAGCAGGCAAGGACAGTTGTTACACACTGTGGCAGTCCCAAAACCTCGTACAAATACATGAGAAGAGCTTGCAGTGCATGTATAGACCTTTTTCACAGCAGCCATTTTGACATGAAATAGGATAAACAGGTGTTACCAATGATACTAATTAGGCTCCAGTTTATGGCAGCTATGAAATTTTTGAGCAAGTGAAAATTGCACAAAAGAAAGCAACCCTCTGAGTGTGTTTTGTGGTAGAAATGTGTTTGTAAATCAATGACTTTTGTTTGTGTTCCACAACAACATTGTACACAGTGTAAAACAGTTTACCTCCGCTTTCATGCAGAACATCAGGGAATTGCCTTGCATGGTCTTAAGCACTAATGTTTGTTGGTAAATGTTCGTGTTGCACATGTCTGCATCTTCACAACCAAAACAAGGAAGTGAGTTTGGCAAAGTATGGCTCAACTTTTTGCAAGGGGAACTGCTATGATTGATAAAACTTCGACGATCATTTGTCAAATTTGTGGAAAGGTTGCAGTAATTGGACAAAATTGCAAAGAATTCACAGGGATTGGAAGAATTTGCATTTAATCGTTGCAATCGCAACCCTAAAGTACTCTAAGGAGGCAACACCAGGATGTTGGCGTAAATGTGGAGAAGTAGAAGCCATATCTTTTTCTCCTGTCCAGACCTGCAGCAATGTTGGACTGAGATAAGTAAAAGTACAATTTTTCAAAATGATACTGTGATGACAAAATGATTAATATCTTTTTTTAGAAGTTTATTCATTAAATTTATGCGGCTCTTCATCCCGTCTTCTGGCTCTTTGTCTTTTTAAATAAGCTCAAAATGAACCAGGATTGGTCAGGCTGAATACGAAGCCTCTCCGGTCTTCTTCACTGCAGAGTCACTGCTGATTCATGCACTCCACTGTCAACACAAAAGTCTTTCATTCATGCTGCCTCCCCCCACTGATGAAGTCAACATGGCACCACTCATCAGAAAAAAGGAAAAGAAAGTGTTTTGAATTGCATCATCTTTAGTTTACCAGGACCACTTGAACACTGAAAATGGTCTTTGTCTTACACTGTGCTGTACTTTAGACTCATCGGATAACCGTTTCTAAAGTAAAGGTTTTATCAGGTTTTATAATCAGAACATATCAAGTACTCCGGACACTAGTTAACCATGGAATTAAAACCCAGTATGCATGCGGAATATATCTAACTCTAAATCAGTTTAATAACAAATCTTGTTTTGATGATGTTTCTATGGACACTGAATGATAATACACCTATGATCAGGCTACTATGGTAATAAGATAGGAACTAATAGAGGGCAGGCCAACTATATTCTCTCTTAAGGACAAAGCAAAGCTGCAGCGAGGAAGATGAGACAATATGAAGAGATGAGGAGTGAAACACGATCCTCCCTCACCAACAGAGGATATAGTACAGGAAATCCAGTACTTTATTTCTGAGTCACACACACACACCTATAGTTGTTATGAGTATTCACACAATGTAACATCATAAATATACTTTCAGTCCCACAAGTGTTCCATTTATAATATTTTAGTTTAGACATTACTGACTAACATCAACTTCACACATTTCCCCCCGTCGATTTTTTAGATCAAATGTTACTCGAATGGGAGGGAATTGTCTATTTTCAGCTGCGGATTAAAGGTCCAGTGTGTAACATTTAGATCTAATGGCAGAAATGGAATATAACTTATTTATAGATATGTAATCACCTGAATTACCTTAGAATGAGACATTTCTATCTACAGGATGACTTCTTCTACAGAGGCTGCCACGTTGAACCGCCATGTTTCTACAGTAGCCATGGAGAAACCGAACACTGGCTCTAGGTTGGGCCTTTTAGAGTAAATGCTCATAGCTTTCATTGCTTTTCACATTTTATTGTTAAGCCCATTTTGCACATAACTGAATTTTTTTATTGGTTTTACACATTTATACCTTATATTTGGGCTGGCCCGTTGGTTTGACAATAAAATTCAGATTGACCCACTGGTTTTCTTCGCGGCAGGTTAAAGTCCAGCGTTTCACTTATCGTTACAGGGGAGCTGTTTTGAAAATGAGACATTGAGTTCGAGCGGGTCATGTCAATGCGCAATTGGGAGCGTCTGACTAACATTTCCTTTCTTAGGGTTGTGATTATAATTTTATTTGGGCTTTTCGGGGTTCTGACAGAAATTCAATGGTTTAAACTATTAGTTTTTAAGGTTCCTTAAAGCGTCTTGGAAATTGGAAGTTTGTTTTAGTCACAATACATTTTAAATGGAATCTTTATCAATAATTTCTTAATGCAAAAGATTACTATTTAAGAAATATTCATATTATTGTTATCTATTTAAGTTTTTTGAAATTGCGTTTTCTTGGATTAACTTAACCAGCTTTAATAAAAACAGCCTTTAGCTATATATAATTCCTTCACGGTTTAATATTGGAGTCGCATTGACTGCACAATTCTTGGAGAATAATTAAAAAAAAAAAGACAGTAAATGGGATGTAATTGGAAGATGTGTAACATTTCATGGGCTGTCGTTTGAAAGTGTATGCAACAAGCTGATTCTCATCTTTATACACAAACTTTCTGGTCTTGGTTATGTTAGTAGGATGTTTATTTTGGTTTTGGCGTTAAAACCTGTTGAAAGCTCCATGCAATTAAAAACAAATAACGGTAGTGAAGTAGGGCAGCCGGATGGAGTATAGGTGCAATCCGTACCTAGTTCTTGGAGGTGGAAAGACAAACTGCTCATCCCTCTCAAAAATACCACAT